CAAAGTTTTTGCTTCACGTATTAATATATACTAGAGGTCCCGCAGTTGTCGAAATTCGACTATAATTAATTGGAATTGTAAGTTTGTACACTATTATGATTGTATTTTATACTTCTATGATCACAAATTTCCCCAAGACTACACTATAAAAAATATTAACAAATTTTAATCTATTCTCAACTTGACAACAGACGTCAAGAACAAAAGTTTGACAATAAATAGTATGCATGCGTGTGTGCGTCAAATACATGGTATGTAGTGTGTGTAATGTTTTCTTTATTCATTTAATGTATCTTTTATGCATTATTTAAAAAAAATATTAGCATTGTGCACTTCTTCTCTATATTCTCTATAAGCGTGGAAAATTTCATACTCCTCCGTCCGCGCAATTTTCGTAAAAAGGGATACACAGTTTTTGCTTCACGTATTAATATATAGATAGGCAGTCGTATATATCAATCTATATCTTAGAAGGGCGCGACGGTCATTCTAATAACGACACCCCGTTGGTTTGATTATTGAGGTGCAATTAAGTTGCCCGTTAAATCAACGTATATGTATGTGCAATGCCCCATGACTCATTTTGACAAACTCTGTTAAGTCGAATGAAAGAAACTTGTCATATAGCCTCGTAATGTGTGTGTTTTTATGAATGAGTTTGTTGGTTTTTTTTTTATTGTTAGGAGGCAATCATTGGACTTCATCCCCAGTGGAGGGCGGGGCATGTCGGAGTTGAACCGACTAAAACCTCCTGTCGCTCAACAACCAGCATCCAAACCTCGCATGAGAGAGAACTCATGAAAAGGCAAATAGGGGAAAGCGAAGCGTTTAGTGCGGAGCACATCTCTCCCATCACCCTCCCCCTCGGGACGCCGGACCGGCAGTCGTCAGCGCCACGACCACCAACCCTCTCGGTGCGTTTGTTGGTAGCCGATTGACTTAAAACTTAATGGAAATTACAATTATTTATGCTACTATGATGCTACTGTTCTACTATGTTGATGCTTTTATGCTATCAATATACGATGACGTAACTCATTGTAGAATTCGAAGTGAACTTTAGTCTATGGAAACAGCCCACTGAGTTTCTCGTCGGAGTTTTTATTTATTGCTTAGATGGGTGGACGAGCTCACAGCCCACCTGGTGTTAAGTGGTTACTGGAGCCCATAGACATCTACAAAGTAAATGCGCCACGCACCTTGAGATATAAGTTCTAAGACCTCAAGTATAGTTACAACGGCTGCCCCACCCTTCAAACCGAAACGCATGACTGCTTCACGGCAGAAATAGGCTGGGTGGTGGTACCTACCCGCGCGGACTCACAAGAGGTCTTACCACCAGTGATTACGCAAATAATAATTTCTCTAAATCTAAATATATACGGGTTTGCGATTCCGATCCGCTGATAAAAGTTGTCATCGCCACGCTATCGACGACACGACGAGCTCGAAGTTTCAGTTGTTACTATTAATACTAAGACTTAAAAAAACTTGTATTATGATTATAGTGAAAACTATAATACTTTATTCTCAGATGCATTGCAGTCTTTGTAGGGTCGTGATTGAAATGATTTAAGTAATCGAAGGCCGTCTTAAAAGGGAAAAATGAAATAATAGCAATACATAGTACATTTTTATCTGAAATCATCATTATCCTGCCCTTCTCCCAGTTACCTGGGGTCGGCGCAACATTTTTTTCTCCTTCCATACTCCTCTATCATATATCATTTCTTCGCTCACTCCCCTCTGACACAGATCGTCTTTCACCCAATTCATCCATTTTTTCTTAGGTCTACCCCTTCCTCTTTATCTCAAATATAATTTCTTATTTAACAAATTCAACAAGCGCGTGCCGTAACCTTTTTTTTGTGACGGAAACTCGATTGAACCATTGACAATAATAGACACAAATTGTTGATTTCGACCACACAAGTCTACAATGTACTCGATTCTAACCTTTATACATACACCTACACAAATAAAAATGCTACCGTTTTGTTTGTATGTGTGCTTGTCCTTTATGTGTCCTTAAAATGAAACCAGATTGTGATGAACTTTGGCAGGTACAGCTGTTCTTGGCGCTCTGGGTAAGGTTACTGTCGTAGTACGATCAAACAACTTTTTTTTTTACCTACCTATGCTGATAGCCTTGAGAACCTATTTCAGCTTCACCCTAACGTGTAGGTGAACTCACGGGGCTTAAACCAGAGTGGTGCTAACACTGGCCCTAGCAAGAGCAGTGCTTCGCAGAATCTACCACCGGATCGGAAACGCGACCCACTGAGAAGATTCGGCGAGAAACTCAGTGGGCTATGTCTGTGGGGTAATGAAACATCAATTCTCCCTCCAGGCTGGGAGGACTCGAGGCCACCAGTAGTCCATCATTCATAAAAAAGGAACATCAATTCATTCTATTAAGGTAAGTCAGCAAAGATTGAATTTCACTAATATATGTATGACTATAAATATCTACTTTTATTTGACGTGTGTCTTTGTCACTTATTTGGCATGTTTGAGTAGGTGCCTGTATAGTTTATGTTGAAACTTGGATCTGATAGTTCACGCTGAAATCGGATTCTAGGTTCTTTCCCAATATATTTTTCCAAGATGGGACAACGTCTACCAGGCCTTCTAGTTTAATCGATGATTAGATATGGATGACCTAAGATAAGATCTAAACTATTTACCTAAAGTCTATTTAGTCAATCGAGATTTTAGGAAATTTTAATACCAGACACGATACTATGACGATCTGTTATTATATATTTGCAAAAAGTAAAGGAAGTTATTCAGTAATCTCCCTTCCCCTTTTCTAAGGAATTCTGAATTGACAAAAACAATTCGAATTTCGATTTGAAAATTTGAGAGAATGTTTATAACGTACTATACTATGTAAATACTATGTTTTTAATATGTACAGGTAGGCAGCGGCTTGGCTCTACCCCTGGCATTGCTGAAGTCCATGGGCGACGGTAACCACTCACCATCAGGTGGGCCGTATGCCCGTCTGCTTACAAAGGCAATAAAAAAAAAATGTACTATCCGATAAAGCAAATACGGTTTTAAATTTCGCTTTGTCATGATTCCTTAATTATACTGAATTACGTCACCATTTGATAGTGAAATTTCATCTCCGAGCTAATCTCACGTTATTGATCAAAGTATCCTATTTATAAAGTTTAGCGGAATACAAAATGTATACTTGCTATATCGAAACGTTTGCCAGATGATTTATTGACGTTCACTGCTAATTTCATTTTAAAATAAAGCTGAAGGGAGTAGGATTTTAAAAATTTAATTGTTTTCATTTCTATGGCGAATTGACTGTGTTACTAGTGTTGCCGGTCACCGTTCTCGTCGAACCCGTCGCTTGCGACGAAGGGCTCGACGAGTAAATTAACTCTCAGACACAGCCCACTGAGTTTCTCGCCGGATCTTCTCAGTGGGTCGCGTTTCCGATCCGGTGGTAGATTCTACGAAGCACGGCTCTTGCTAGGGTTCGTGTTAGCATCGTCGTCAGGTTTGAGCCCCGTGAGCTCACCTACAAACGTTAGGGCGAAGCTGAAATAGCCTCTCAAGGCTATCAGCATAGGTAGGATAAAAAAAAAAACTAGTGTTGCTTCAAATAAATGCTCAATGAAAACAATCGAATATAATATATATATAAAAATGATATTGTTTTGTTTTAAATGCCGTCGAAGTTAGACGAGCATGTGGCAAATGCGTAATCATTTTTCAGGAAAGTAATTTACTATTTAGGTCTCTCCTCACAGCTCATTTGTACGAAAATTAATTCTAGAGCTGAATGGATAAAGAACATCTCTGGTATTAATCCGTATTGATTCCAAGGATTAAGCCGTGCTCAGGTGGCTGGTGGAGCAAAAGTAAAAGGGGACAAATGAATACTTCACAATACCCCCTCAAATCGACACAAGACGCACAGTATTATATACTTATATATAATATATCATTAATTCCCCATATCCTCCGTAGACCTTCCGGTGAGATAAGGAATTTGACTGCACCCATCTTCTATACTAATATGATGTTTACGTCAATGCTGTTGCGTTGTGTCAAACCAATTGCGTTGAAACTTTGTACAGCTTTTAGCACTTGCCTATTACTATGGGTTATGAATCTGGTTTCAATGGGGAATATTTCATATTACTCAGAAAATACTGCAAAGGGAAATACATTCCACAGCCGGATAACAAAAGCATTGTTACGCCGGTAAGAGTACCGCCATCTATCGCCGAATAGTCGAACGAATATCGAAGGATGTAGTAGTATCTAGAACGCTCGAGAAGTACATCACCATCTATTGTCAGAGAGCGGATACACACAATACTAGAATTTTGTGGAATATTCTCGACGATTCTAGGGATTTCGTCTCGACTATAAAAGCGTTGCAGAGATAGGATGCAGTCAGTTTGTAATCGGTACTTATTAAAGCGAAACAGCGAACGGATCACCTGAAGCGAAGGGGAAGAAGCGAATTGAGAGTTTTAAAGTGTTTGTGAAATGTTTAAAGTGTTCTAAGTCTATACTAATATTATAAAGAGGAAAGATTTGTTTGTTTGTTTGTTTCGAATAGGCTCCGAAACTACTGGACCGATTTGAAAAATTCTTTTTCCTTTAGAAGCCGACATTGTCCCTGATGAACATAGGCTACTTTTTTTTATTTTATTTTTTTATTTTTTTGGTTTCATGTATGTTTTAATGTTTCCGAAGCGAAACGAGGGCGGGTCGCTAGTGTTGAATACACTGTTAGCTTGTAATTCGGTAGAATTTTATTTATCCCGAACCCTAGCGCATAACAGTATGCTACATGCATTGTACAGAATAATTCTCTTAACGTGTTTTTTTGCGTCACCATATCTGAAAAACATCGCTATTAGGGATGAAGCCTCCAATTGTACTTATCTCATCTTGCGAACGAACTGAATTAATTGCGAATAAATAAATAGTAAATTCATAGTAATGTAATAACATTTTGTTACCTCTTGCGCTTTTTTGGCGAGTCTGGTGATCATGTTCTCCGGGTACACCTGGTGAACGGAGAATGAAGGTTGTTCAACTCCAGCCTGCCTCCGGATATCCTCCCAGCGTTCCTCGCCGTAAGTCTGTCGGATGTACTCCGCCATGTTCTCGAGTAGAAGCCCGTACATTTTGGAACTGAAACAAATGTACTATATTTATTGCAATTCAGTAGTCCAATAATTAGCGTCTTATCACATCGAACTCTTTTTTTTTATGACCTCGTAACGAGGCTTTTAAGCCAAGTCTTATTCTTCTTACATTCTGTTTTAAAATAAAAAGAGAAAAAAATTATTAATTTCAAACTTTAATTAATTGAAATGAAATTAAATGAATCGAGAAGAAATTGAATAACGTCTCAGTAAAATATTGGTTATTTACCGAGACTTTTTCAGTAGACATTTGGAAGAACCGTCTTTGTTTAATTTTTCCCCATTTGTGAACTTTCACTAAGCAGTTAATAATCCACCGTCAATACGCATTAAAATCTGAAGAAACACTAAATGAACAAAATAAAAATGATTGACACCACTTCGCTTCTCGCGTTTCCGCCAAAGAAGCCATCGAACTCTAGTTTTCGAGATAATGTAGAAGGAGTGATGCTCTATGAAATATAATCTGTGGTGACAGTAAAATAGCAGCAGAATTTTTTCGTTCCTATCCGGTGTCCCACGACACCACACATCTATTTTTTTATTGATTTAATGTATTTTTTATGCATAATTTAAAAAAATATTAACATTTTGCACTCCTTCTCTATATTCTCTATAAGTGTGGGAAATTTCATACTCCTCCGTCCGCACAATTTTCGTAAAAAGGGGTACAAAGTTTTTGCTTCACGTATTAATATATAGATTTGTCTTTAATGTAGTCTTGGCGAAATTTGTGATTATGGGAAGTAAAATATAAAAAATAATCTTAGAAAATAGAATATAATGTTCAAACTTATAATTTAAATTAAATATAGTCGAATTTTGACCACCGGAGTCTACTAGTCATAATAATACGCAGTGTATTCGAATATATAATTTGGAAATATCTGTTTCGATTAACACGAACGAAGAAATTTCTGCAGGATTACAAGAGTTTTACGATAAAATCGATACGTTTATCTCTCTTGGGACGCGCGGTCGTATTCTCAATTGTACTTACTGCCTTATAGAATAACGAATGTCACTTTTCAAAGCGTATTTATTAATCGGATTTTTGGATTCCTTCAACGTAATTTTCATCAGACTAGGAGATGTTTACATTACTTTCTTTTTTCTTTATTGCTTAGATGGGTGAACGAGCTCACAGCCCACCTGGCGTTAAGTGGTTACTGGAGCCCATAGACATCCACAACGTAAATGCGCCACCCAACTTGAGATATAAGTTCTAAGGTCTCAGGTATAGTTACAACGGTTGCCCCGCCCTTCAAACCGAAACGCATTACTGCTTCACGACAGAAATAGGCAAGGTGGTGGTACCCACCCGCGCGGGCTCACAAGAGGTCCTACCACCAGTAATTACGCAAATTAAAATTTTGCGGGTTTCATTTTTATTACACGATTTTATTCCTTCACCGTGGAAGGCAATCATGAACATTTGTTGAGTACGTATTTCATTAGAAAAATTGGTACCCGCCTGAGATACGGACACCGGTGCATCGCTCAACACGAATGCATCGGACGTCTTATCCGCTAGGCCATGACGACTTCAAACGATAACTTGAAAGATTTCCAAGGGTATCGAGGACCTATGATAGTACAATAATACTTAGTAACATATTCGACTACCTAGACCACTATCAAACTTTCTATCAAACAGTGTTTTTCAGTTTTCTTATTATCTTTTATTACATTGGAACACGCAATGCATATTGGCTGTAATTATAATTTTATCTAATCATAAGAACACTGTCTGCATTATTATATTGAAAGAATATTTCTCCCTTTTTCCATTACCATACACGAGGAATAAGTATATATCGTATATACCATATAAAAGTGTCATGTATTGGAAAACAAAAGAAAATGATCGTGTTTTTATTGTATTATAGTTCTTACTTACTTATCGCGTTTCATACGGGTCTTCTGTTACACACGTTACTAATGGAGAATCTTCTAATATCATAACTACATATTTGGGTAAAACCATGTTAATAGTAGTGTTTGTCCTGATGTGTATAAATTAAGAAAATGTCAAATGGTTCCAATTTATTCTATAATATATAAAAATGAATTGCTGTTCGTTAGTCTCGTTAAAACTCGAGAACGGCTGGACCCATTTGCCTAATTTTGGTCTTGAATTATTGTGGAAGTCCAGAGAAGGTTTAAAAGGTAGATAAATATGAAAATGCTCGGAATTAAATAAAAATAACAATTTTGTTTTCCCTTTGATGTGTCCCCCGTCGGACGGATTCCTTTTGTTTGTTTTAAGTTTATTTTATACAAAAGTTTAGGTCTTTTATTTCGATTAAGGCACTGCGAAGTCTGCCGGGTCAGCTAGTCTTTAATACACATTTGTTTAAAAAATTCAATTGATATTCTTTAATGTCTCTTATATTATAAATTCGTCCGAATCTCATGGTAAATATTAAAGCGGTGGATACCAAGTAGATTTTTTTTCTTAGATGGTTGGACAGCTCACAGCCCACCTGGTGTTAAGTGGTTACTGGATCCCATAGACATTTATAACGTAAATGCCGCCACCCACCTTGAGTTAGTCTCAGTATAGTTACAGCGGCTACCCCGCCCTTCAAATCGAAGCGCACTACTGCTTCACGGCAGAAACAGGCGGGGTGGTGGTACCTACCCGTGCGGACTCACAAGAGGTTCTACTACCAGTAATTACGTAAATTATAATTTTGCGGCTTTTGATTTTAATTACACGATGTTATTCCTTCACCGTGGAAGTCAATCGTGAACATTTGTTTAGTACGTATTTCATTAGAAAAATTGGTACCCGCCTGCCTGCAAGATTCGAACATCGGTGCATCGCTAGATGGAACACTATTATTTCTCACCCCTACAAAGATTCTCATCATTAACGCCCCCGCAACTGGTGTAGTGAGTCCAACACTTATATAAATATTAGTCTATGCAATAAGTACACGTATTTTCTACATGGATACCAAGTTTCAAGTCAATCGGATGCATGGTTCAGTAGTTATAACGGAACATCCGTAAAAACCACTGTAGATTTATATATTAGTAAATAGATTAACTGTTTACTATACATAGAAATGAGAACTAATATGTAGTGTTAGTAGTGTATATGTATATACAGCAAAATACGTTACTTACACAAGCATTTACATTTTCCCGCATTCATAATACTAAGCAACTCATCCGGTAAATGTAGCCGGGCTAGCCTTAATAAGGCTACAGTAAATAAACAGAGGTCTGAAGGTAATGTATATCTATAAGAAAATAAGTCTTTAATTTACCGTGATAACGATAATGCTTAAGCCGTCAATAGGTTCAGTGTGCTTAGTGCGAGTGTTTTAACGTTCTCGATATCGAAAACGTTAACTCGAATTCGTATGGAGTTGGAACAGCGCCCCTGGCGGCAAGCATAGATAAACGTTCCAACTCCATACAAATTTGAGTTAAATTTACGCTATGGAGAACGTTAAAAAACTCTCACTAAGCACACTCAAGAACATAACGATTGCCAAGTAGTATATCGTTTACCTTAGTTTCCAATAAAATGAAAATAATTGTTTATACGAAATATTGAACTGATTTATTGGACGTGTTATTGTTAATAAGACCGTGGTCTCCGAATATATTATTATACTAGCGGCCCGCTCCGGCTCCGCTCGGGTATTTAACAAAAATTTCAACGATATTTGAAGTTGTCTTATTTTTTAAAATAAAAGAACACTTATTGCGGCATAACTATAATAGTTAGACATATGCTGACGCGACACTTTTTGTTAATAATAATGTGTTCTACAAAGTCGTAGTACATTATTTTATTCTATCATCAATAATTTTCGCAGGGCACCCGATGTAAATAATATTTTAGGTAATTTTTTTACACCTTGGGTTACATTATTTCCTATATTTTTTTTCAAAAAAGATTATAGCCTATTCAAATCGGTTCAGTAGTTTCGGCGCTTATTCAATACAAACAAACAAATAAATCTTTCCTCTTTATATTATTAGTATAGATTACTGATTTTCGATTTCTAGTTTAATAATTGATAATATGTAGGTGCACGGTAAAAAAAAATCTGAAAACACTAGGACCGATAAATTGGGATTGGCTCGTTAAATTTATTTTCCATTGCGTTTTTATATTAGTTCAACTAGCTGCCCTTTGAATCATTCATTTTGCAGACTCATTCATCTTACGACAAATTCTATCAGCGAAAGTCTCGATTTTCTAAATTTTATTTATTTATTGCATTGATAGGTGGACGAGCTCACAGCCCATCTGGTGTTAAATAGTTACCGGAGCCCATAGACATCTACAACGTACCCATCTTGAGATATAAGCTCTAAGGTCTCAAGTATAGTTACAACGGCTGCGCCACCCTTCAGACCGAAACGCATTACTGCTTCACGGCTGAAATAGGCAGGGTGGTGATACCTACCCGTGCGAACTCACAAGAGATCCTATCACCAGTTCTGGTTTAAACTAAGCAGTTACTGTAAATCACCTTGTTAATTTAGTTGGAGGATGAATCTGAGTGTCGTATCACCGGGCCTAAGTAGTGGACCGTTAGATTAGTCTCATTGTTGAAGATATTTGGTATTCTAATTCATTCAGATGCCATTATTCATGTCTCGTACCTAAATGCGGTTCTAGAACCAAGGAGAATGGCTTAGGCGCATTCTTCTTTGCAATGTAAATGTATTTTTCTTAACTATCCTTTTATTTTTGCGATTTTTTTCACTTTTATGTACAATGGTAATAATAATGATTTTTGCTACGGTAAATACGATTGTATTGTGCTTAGTAATATGATATGTTATGGAGTGTCACGTAGAACACTAAATGTGAGTCACATTTGTTGTTCGCGACGAGATAGCGCTGGCAAAACTTCACCAATATGTCGCTTGGTTTAAGCATGTAACATGTGCTTTAATCCGAAGTCATTACGAGCTAGTGTTAACGAAATATGTTAATAATTTACTTAAAGAGAC